TGCTGCCCTGCCTGGTGCGCATGGCCCTGTGCGCGCCCGCCGACCAGAGCCAGAGCTGGGCGCAGGACAAGAAGCTGATCCTCAGGCTGCTCTCGGGGGTGGAGGCCGTCAACTCCATCGTGGCCTTGCTCTCTGTGGACTTCCACGCCCTCGAGCAGGACGCCAGCAAGGAGCAGCAGCTCAGGTAAGGTAGAGAACGGTTTCCCCAAGTCGGCGTGTGGCTGTTCCGGCTCTTTGTTGCTGCTGCGGAGGGGCCGGGCTCACCCGTTGTGTCCCTGAGCTCGGGAAAATCCCGGTTTTTTTGACAGAGCAGCATCCAGGGAGCTGGGTGTCTGTGCCCCTTGGAGATCTGTTCGGTCTGTGGGGTGTGGGGGGGGTTTGAGGGAGCGGCCGGGTGAGGTGCAGACAGGTCGGGGATGCACTTTCTCAGCTGCTGTCTCTGCTCCTGAGGAACAGAGGCCCTGGAAATTTTTACAGTATTTTCTAAGAGTTCACGTTGGTTAATCTGCTGGTCTGGATCTTGTAACGTCCCACAGTTACAACACAGTTACAGTCTTTCCTGATCGTTAGGGCGGCAGAAGAAATCCCCGCACAGTTACTGTCATCCTTTAACAGGTAAACCTCCTGTGTTTGCAGAAGTATCTAATGGCTGTTTATAATTGTCTGTCAGGCACAAGCTGGGAGGAGGGAGTGGAGAAAGCATCTTGGTGTCCCAGCTGCAGCACGGGCTGACCCTGGAGTTTGAGCACAGCGATTCGCCCCGGCGGCTTCGGCTGGTGCTGAGCGAGTTGCTGGCAATTATGAATAAGGTAAATCTCTCCATATCTGGACACCTGTGACTTTTGTGTCAGTTAAAATGGCCTCTGGATAGATTTATTTGCTGCCTGGTTCTGTTTCTGGTGCTGCTGCTGTTGTGGCTTCTCCAGTTCTTACCTGCTTCACCAAGACTTAAGAGTCTTAGTCTGATTGAACAGTGGCTTGTGAAATCTCTCCATATCTGGACACCTGTGACTTTTGTGTCAGTTAAAATGGCCTCTGGATAGATTTATTTGCTGCCTGGTTCTGTTTCTGGTGCTGCTGCTGTTGTGGCTTCTCCAGTTCTTACCTGCTTCACCAAGACTTAAGAGTCTTAGTCTGATTCAACAGTGGCTTGTGATGGAATTCATTATGAGCTCAGCTTTCTAGAGGAAGCCTTTCTTCCACAAACAAGGTTGATCTTTTCTAATACAATACAGACTATATTCTGTAATGTGCTCTACTCAAATGTAATGTAATTTTGTGATGCATCAGTGCTGGAATCACATTTGAAAACAAATTTATTACTTCTCTCCATCCAGTTACTTACTCCTATTGCAGGATGATATTAGCCACTTATTTCTTTCACTCCTTCTCTTTGCCCTCACCATTTTATTTTCCTTGTGTAAACTTAACTATGTTTTAAGAATTGTCTGTGAGCTATTTCTCATTCTTCTGGAAAGATGCAAAGATACCTGCTGTATTGAAGTATTTCCACTAGTAAATATTTCTTATACTAAGCACTTTTCTTGCCTGTTCTGTGTTTATAGCTGTACATTTTGGACAGTTCTTAATGTATTCAATTTGCTGAATTTAAAGCCATAAAAGACTGATTATACAAATTTCTTCACAAAACCTGCCCAGTGATGATGAATAATGTCTTTTAGGTGTCAGAATCAAATGGTGAGTTTTTTCTCAAATCTTCTGAGCTGTTTGAGAGTCCTGTTTATCTGGAGGAGGCAGCAGATGTTCTCTGCATTTTGCAAGCAGGTGGAGTATTCTGTTTTTATAGTGTTTCTAATTTCTTACATATATGTAAAAAATAACCTGGACCCACTGAGACTGATTTAAGGTTAATTTAGGATGTCTAGCTCTTTGAAAGATTACTAGACCATGGATTGATTTTCCATTAATTGATTTGTGTTTTTGAAATGTGTATTAAAAGCCAAGTTTTACTTGTTTCACTGTGGTTTTTAAAACTCTCTTTTCACCCAGAGCTGCCATCACTGTTGCCAATAGTTGATGTGGCTGAAGCTCTGTTGCATGTTAAAAATGGAGCCTGGTTCCTCTGCCTTCTGGTGGCCAATGTTCCTGACAGCTTTAACGAGGGTGAGTTGCAGTTTCTTCATGTCCAGCTTAGTTTTTCTGAAGGTTTGAAATGATTTTGAGCAATATAGTTAATTCTGGGCTAAACCGTGTGTCAGAAGTATTTGAAAGGCATTTATACCTAGAGATGCTGATTATAGAATCATAGGATTGTTTAGGTTGGAAAAGACCTTTAAGATCATGAAGTCCAACAGTTAGCTTAGCTGCCAAGCCCACTGCTAAACCTTCACCACCACATCTACACAACTTTTAAACATGTCCAGGGGTGGTGACTCCACCTCTTCCCTGGGCAGCCTGTGCCAGTGCTTGACAACCCTTTCTGTGGAGAAATCCTTCCTAGTCCTTCCACCCTAAAACTCCCCTGGTACAACTTGAGGCTGTTTCCTCTTGTCCTCCTGCTTGTTATTTATGAGGAGAAACCAGCACTTGCCTCTCTACACCCTCCTTTCAGGGAGCTGTAATTGCTAATTGCTCCTGTCCCTCAGACTGAGCTGTATCACAAGGCTGATGGTGCCTGTTCTGCAGCCCTTACCTCCTGGTAAGATTTTAGTCTCCAGGGCTGCCAGATGCACAGGTTACACTGGATAGAAAATGTGTGTAACTGGATGATCCATAACTCTGTGCTGACCCTGTAATTCCTCTTAGGGAAAAGGTAAATTTCCTTGTACTGTTTTTACAGTGCAGACCATGAGCTCTTGCCCAGACAAGCTTTGTGCAGCCCAGCTGGTGCATGCCAGTGAGCTGAGCAGCACAGCTTGGCTCGGTGTGTTTCTGTGGGTTTTGTTGGGAGGGGCAGGTGTGAGTTCTGTTGGGAAGGGCAGGTGTGCTCACACCTCCTGCTGGATCTCCAGTCTGCAGGGGTTTGATTAAGAATGGTGAACGGCAGGATGAGGAGAGCGTTGGTGGCCGGCGCAGGACCGAAGCGCTTCGCCACCTGTGCAAGATGAACCCTTCCCAAGCTCTGCGGGTCCGAGGGATGGTGGTAAGTGCCTCATGAGAACCATGTGGTCCTTCTTGGAGCTTTGGAAACAAAGAATATGGTTGAACCTGAGCATTTATTTTACCTAGGTGGAAGAGTGTCACCTACCAGGTCTTGGTGTGGCTTTGACCTTGGATCACACCAAAAACGAAGCTTCAGATGATGGAGTGAGTGACCTGGTGTGTTTTGTGAGTGGTTTGCTCCTTGGAACAAATGCAAAGGTTCGGACTTGGTTTGGGACTTTTATCCGAAATGGCCAACAGGTATGAAAGGCTCTGAGTATTCTGTTGTTAAGAAAATATTCTTACAGCTTGCTGTGACTCCTCAGGATGTGGGAGCGTGTCTTGGTTTGAATGCGTGTAAATCCTGTCACACGACTTCAAGCAGCCTTACAAGGCAACCTCTTCTTAGGGGACCATCAGATCAATAAATAGTGTCCCTAAAGGCAGCTCTTTTGTTGTTCCTCTGAGAGACTTTTAGGTAGGAATTCAATAGGCACAGAAACCAGGGAATTGTAAATTCATACTGTTAACCTGGGAAATACTTTTATCCTTGGAGTTCACATTAGGAAGTTGCATTTTGACTTGCTTAGTTAGTGGAATTACTTGAAGCTTGTGTTTTGATGTGATAAGCTGTTGTAATATGATTGTGTTGCCCTGCAACTGGAAATTGTATTGAAAAAAATTCCTCTTCCCTCCTCTTTTTTTTCTTAACTTCCTCATTGTGGATATTCTTATGCAATGCACTGTTTGATGGAGTGAGTTTCAAGTTGCTGTTCTTGTCTTTTAATGTCTTACACAGAGAAAAAGAGATAATATCAGTTCTGTGCTTTGGCAAATGAGGAGGCAGCTGCTCCTGGAGCTCATGGGAATCCTTCCCACGGTTCGCAGCACACACATTGTTGAAGAAGCAGATGTTGAGATGGACCCAAACGTGTCTGTGTACTCAGGACTGAAGGAGGAGCACGTGGTGAAAGCCAGCGCGTTGTTACGCCTCTATTGTGCTTTGATGGGAATTGCTGGGCTGAAGTAATGAGCTTTTCAATGCTCTGATTTTTTTTTTTTTTTTTAAATCACTGTCCATTTAAACAGAGGTTGAGAGCTTTGGGCACTTCACATGAGCTATCTTCTTAATGCCATTGTGTCTTTGTAACAGTCTTGGCAGGACTGGCCAATTTTGGTACTGGGGGAGTCCCCTCTCGTGTGCTCAGGGCTGGAAATTTCCTTGTAGTGCAGAGAGCAGATAATGTGTAATGCTCTGT